AAAAAAAAAAAAATTAGAAGTTACTCCAAGGCCATTAAGCAATCTGGAATAATAATAATGACTAAAAAAACCCTCAGGAGTGAAATTGTGAGAGAGACGCTGACAGATCAAACAAAACATATTTGCCAGTATTGAATCATGACACATCTGATGCCAAGGACTGAATGAAATTTAACTCTGAATGGGGTAATACAAGAAAAGACAGGGCGCTCTCCTGCTCGGCTTCTCTTTTCCTGCTGCAAAGGGAAAACGCTTGTTTCTCTCATCTTTCCCCCCTTCCCTCTCCATCGGCTATAGAGCTGCCACTACATTGTTCTCTCTTGATCATAAAGTCACGATGGATAAATCACCTTCAAATGCGATGTGCTCTTATTTCAGTGGGACAAATCCCTTTTTTTTTAACTACCGATAGGAATTTTTTTCCCTCCAGAAGTTCTCCACATCCTGCATTTCTCAGCAGGTGTAGGCTTGACTTTGTGCCTACCTCTGCGATCCTGCAGCATTACAGGGCTGGCAGGTACAAAATCCCCCTCCCTGCAGTCGACACAACTCTGCTAGCAGCTCAACCTTCTTACTCAAGAGTGAGCATCCAGCATACCTTTGCCTGTTCACCTAAATGCTAAACACAAGAGATGAGGCTGTCTATCCCCGAGCCCTCTCCCATCCGCGATTCTCTCCCTCGGACAAAGACCTGAAGCTGTGCAATGACGGGTAGTGCACCTCCTCCCTCCAAAGCTCTGCGTCTCTCCCAGACCGAAGGGAGGCTGATGGCAAGCTGCGGGGTTGAGCAGCGCTCCTGGGAGCCTTCCCGGGAATTCGTCCCCTTACCTTTCTCGCAATAGCAGAGTGCTGCCAGGGCCAGAGTCACAATCAACAGTGCCAGCAGACTCCTCATGTCTTCTTTGGCTGCGCTAGTCTCCCTAACCTCAGAGCTTTCCTGGAGGTTACTGAAGTTCTCCGGAACTTGCTTTCAGGCAGCAGTTTATATCCTGTGATCGCCTGGAGACATCGGGACTCTGGCTTGTGTTCCTGTGTCTGAGCTCCAAAATAAAGCCTGTCCTTTGGGCCAGGAGATATAGGGTCCTGGCAGCCATTTCGACATCCGTCTCAGGACTTGTGGCATTTCCAGAAGATTTTATCTGAGGTTTTGAATGGGACTGTTGAAGAAAAACAACTGGATAAAAAAATCAGTTTTATTATAAGCATGAAAGTCATTCAGCTTCTCGCCAGAAAGCCAGGGGAGAGACCAGCACACCCTGAAGCAGAGCAGCTCCTTTCGGGTGATGGAGCTCTCTCATGTGGAAAATCAAATGCAACTGAACCCAGTGGTGACTCTTTTACCTCACCCCAGCCTGACCCATTCACCTGAAGGTAAAGAAACCCATGAAACGGTTTGCACAGGGCAAACACACAGTAGATTTTCACTTTACACAGTTTCACCAAACCACTTTGGAGAGCTCAGATTTTTATGTTGTTGGGATCTTTGGTAGTGAGTTTGGGAGAGGGTCTTTCTGGTTTCTTCCTGGAAATTTTCCTAGCATGGAGGTTATTAGTTTGGCTTCTCTTGTCTAAAAATCAAATAAACCTTGAAACTCCATAAGTCTTTGATTCTTCAGGACTTGAGTGGGTGTGGTTGCTTGGTATGTCAAGAGCCCTGAATGGGCTCTTCTACAGCCGATCTACCAATAGCCTCATACTCCCCAAACCCACCACCCAAGTTCCCAAAGCCATGTCCCAAACACAGCACATCGATCACATTTTCCTTCACCTCACATCCAGTCCTCCTCGGCCCCACGTGCCAGGGAGACATCCAAGGGTTACAGAATTAAAGCCTAAGAGGCTCCCAAGGGCAGTCAGAGCCATTTGGGATTGTGCCAATCCCTAGGAACACTGTCTTTTAGCTTAGAGAAATTTCAGGATTTAAAAAAAAAAAAAGTTTAACTCTTCTACGGTCCAGGAAAGACTGAATATATATACTAACAACTTCCAGCAAAAGTGTCGTAAAGAGCAACCGTTTGAAAATAAATAAATATCTAAAAATAACAGGTATTCTAGGAAAGTTATGCTTCCAGAAGAAAACTTGAAAGAATATAAACATACAATTCTAGTAATCCAAACAGCTTTACTTCTCTTCCCAACTTTTCCCAAGCTTTCTAACCAGCATGCAGTCTCTTAAACATGTTTGGTTATTGCTTACACTGATGAAATCCCACAGAAATCTCTGGTATTATTCATTACTTACACTGGTAAACCAGAGGTTGGGATTGCCAGATATTTCTGGACACAGACTCAGACAGCACTAGCCCTGTGCCTTCCATTTTGGTGGTGTCACAGTGTCAGACAAACCCAGACACTACAGACTTGTTGACTTTAGGGTATGAAAGTTTTGCCTTGGTTCATGAGTGTAAGATTCACCTCTTTGGGAGCATACAGAACAAGTGTGGGTGCAAATCTGCGTAATCCGTATGGCTTTTTTTCCCTTAAACTCATTTATCTCTCATTTTTGCCTTTGGACAAAACTTTTGCATCTGTCAGGGTGGAGTTTCCTATCAGACATGTTTTCAATAAATAAATCACTTTTCTTTCCAGAAGTTCATCTTCCAAGCTGGCAAAGCCTTGAAGCATATTTTGCAAGAAGATGCATGTTTCTAATGTGGCAGGTAGATTTGGCTCTAGACTTAATTTCACAGAATAGTCAACAATTTGATACGTTATACTTCACAGCCTTTGATAGCGTGCCATGAATCTTTCCCACTTCTGTAATTTGCAGGTGCCTGTAGAAGCCTGGAGATGTGACTATTGAAACCAGCTGTGCGGAGCCGAGTTAGATGTTAAGTCTACTCACACACCACACCAAGGGGTCTCTGAGCTGCTGTGACTGCTGACCAGCCCAGAGCAGTATTGAATTCTTGGGCATGTCAGCACTGGTGCCTTTTGGCCTGGGGACAGGCTCTGCGAGGTGCCCTGGTGCTGGTGACAACCCCACAGTGATCATGCTCACTCCTCAATGGGCCAGGAGGTGCTGAGCAACCTGTGGACAGGGTCAGACCACGTCTTCATTTTGAATGAACAGTAAAATAAAATTGTTCTAGGTGAACAAAGCTGGGTTTAACCCCAAACACTGAGTTTCTTTTATTTACCACCTGGAGCCCCTCTTCACCTTTGGTTTCTGCAGCTTTCTAGCACTACCAGAATCATTCCAAGTGGAATTAAGGGCAGGAAAGGGGAGTCTAAAAGGAAATATGAGTAAAGTCTGGATCACACTCTCCTTTCTACAGGAGCACCCTACATCAGGACCTGAGGGTAGCTGGATAGACAAGATGCAATTTACAGGCTGTTTCTGACAGTAACTCTTGCCCTAACTTTGTTTTTAAGATTCAACAAGCACCTTCTGAATTTTGTTTCTCCAACTGAAGAAAGATATTATAGATTTCATTTTCAAAAAGAACATCTCGCCCTGCTTTCTGAACACCACACCATTTTAAGATGTCTTAAGACTGGGAACGGAAATTTGCCAGTGAACTCTAAAAGAAACCACTTGTAGATCCTGGAATAAAAACATTGTAGGTCCTTTGAAACTCATGTGATTGCAAGGTAGTGACTTTCTTCCATAATCTGCACCAGATTCTATGATAAACAAACTCAGCTTCTTCATGGAAAATTGCACACACCCCCAAAAAAACTGTGACTCATGAGAAGATACTATCAAACCAGCAATTTATTGTGTAGTAAACACCCACATCCTGAACTCTCTCTGATCTCTGCTACATCAGCTCAGCACTAATTAACACAGTGTAGGAATCCATGGCTACATGGGAGAGAAGCAGCAGGCAGGATAACATACAGGGACTCAAGCAACTGAATATGTTTCAGAGCCATTGCATTTTTTGGGAGAATACCCTGGGCTCCAGGCCCCAAGGTGGAGACAGGACATCCTTTACTTATTCCTCCTCCTCCCAAAATAGTGCCTGTAAGCAGCAGCATAGCCGTGGCGAAAAGCATACAGGTCGCAGGGGTAGTAGTCCTCACAGATCTCCTTCTGACGTTCATGGAGAGCCTTATGACGCTCCCTGATCCTGCAAAAGTAGGAGAGATGCATCATCAGTAAGTGCTGCCATCTTAAATATCTATCTACAGCCCTTTCCTGCCCCACAATCCCCCATCAGGATTAAGGGTCCATCACCAGATTCCATCATCCAGCTACCAAGATGTCAGCATACCAGCTTCTGTGTTCACTGCACCCAGGGGCTCGATGTGACTACAACAGGAGCGTTTTGCCTCCCCAGGTAACCTTTTATTTCAGGGCTAAGTAGCTGGTGGGAAAGGGGGGTGGCTCCTGCCTCAACCCGAGGAAGAATCCTCCCTCCACAGCCCCCCCAGCCTGCTGCCTTCAGCTCTTCTGCTCTTCCCCAAAGCCATGCATGGAACAAAGACCTGAACCATCCTGCAAAGGGGCCACCTGGTATGGCAGAGAAGGTTTGCCTCAACACCTTGCTAGGAGGTGATTTCTGTGCTTCAGCCTTTATTTTCACAAGCCCTGCGTGTGGCATGAAACTGCCTATATCTGCTTTTATAGATGAGGCAAGGAGGCCCCACATGGCCCTGTGGTTTAGAAAAGGTCACGCAAATTCTGCGTGAGAGCTGAGGGCTAGAACAAGATCTCGAACTGATCTTTCTTTCTGGCCATCCCACACTGATTCCCTTTCCTTTTGTTGGCATTTCCTTCAGACAAATTAAGCAGAGCCTTCCCAGCACATGGCATGTCCTCAAATGCAAGGACTCGCTCTCTGCTATCTGAGTTCTGGCTTCTCCCTACAGCTGGGGACTTCACAGGCACCTCGCACTGAGAGAGGGGCTGAGGCTTCTCAGATGCCACCATGGCTTCCTCCCCTGGTACCAGCCTGTGCGTGGCAAGGAGAGACCTCTCCCCACTCCCACCCTCCATGTCCTGAGGCCATAACATACCTCTCCTGAGAGATGGCTCCTAGTCTCGTGTCAGCTTGTATGAAGTCATTGGCCCTTTGCCTGTTCAGGAAGGGATCTGAGAAGGCAAGGCATTGTTCAGAGCAGAGAGACACTTTTTCAAGGCTGGGTTTCAACAAAAGCTAGCTTCCACGTTTATTATAGCCTCCCTGTCCGCCCTCCCAGGCACAGTGAAACCTAGGACTTTTTAATATTTCCTGCTGTCCACCCCGCTGGTTCGTGCCCAGGCTCTCCCTCTGGCTTGTGCAGCCTGTATGGAAGCACATGTGCCACTCTAGCTCTACTGTTACCCAAGCCACCCAGGGTAAAGCCACTGTGATTTTGCTGCCACTGCCCCTCTGAGTGAGTGGAGTTTGACCAAGAGAGAGGCACCAAGCTGCGCAGACCATGGGAGGTCTGGGCACGCCCAGTAGCATTAATAGAATCATGAAATGATAGGTAAAACCAGGAAAGGGCACCTTCAGCTTCAGACTGCTCAGTGACTGCCTCACCTTGGAGGCAGACAGACTTACTCCATATCTGCCTCCAAGGCTAGCCAGTCACCGAGCAATCTGTGTGGCAATTTTGGACTGAGGTGCCTGAAGGTCCGTTCTGTCCTTTTTGAGAAGCATCACAGTCCTACTGCAGAGTTCAGGAGTCTGTGGATGTCTTTGGGCATTGGCTCCCACATGTGCCTTTGTGCTTCTGACCAGCTGTTTTGTGAAGTCCTTCTTTCTCCCAGACGGCCTCGTTTACTTTTTAGTTTCAAACCATCTGTTCTCTAACCTCTCCAAGTCACTGCTTGTACCATGGTGGTACTCTCCACCCTTTCATGCTTCTCCTGTGACACCGACCCTCTCTTCCAGACCAAAGATCCCTCCTGCCCACACATCCCACCCGCTTCTTCCAAGGTGCTGGGAGTAAGGCTCTCCGTGTCTTTGGGGAAGTACAAATCATGCCACTGGCTTCTGCAGTACCTCTTTTTGTGCTCATCACAGAGCTTTTTGAGCAATGTCCTTTTCTAGTGTCACTTAACCTATTTTAGGTGGATGCAGCAGGGATCTAGGTTCGTGATTCTCTGTTTTCCAATTCTCATTACGTTCCTTGCAAGACAAATTGGTATGTACTTGGGCCCAAATATGTGAAGTCTTTTTTTAACTATCTTCCTATTCATCCTGCAACTCCATCACCCAGTAAATTCAATTTCCCAGTGGTTCTGCCTATTTAATCACCACAGTAAAGTACAAGGAAATGGTCTTGGAGATGTCTGTAGAACACTTCAAATTCAACAAAATAGTAAAGCAGTCTCTTACTGAGATACTCATGGGATTCCATGCTCTCATGGGACTCTGGGGAAAAAAAGAGTAAAACGTGGTAAGACACTGTATTGATGGCATTCACAGTCTTTCACACACCACAGATCAATAGAACATGCACACAGAAATCAGAGAAGACAGGTTTTAAGGCACCTGTTTAAAAGGAAGAGAAAGGGATGAGTGGCATGACCTAGCATTCATATGAGGATTTTAGGGTGTTCAGGAGTTTAGAGTGGAGCAACCTGCTGTCTTAGCGAGGACTTCAAGGCTTGTGCTTGGTCTCCCAGTGTGTGATTCTCAAGCGTAGTTCCTCATGCTCCTGACACTACAGTGGATATGATACCTGTTTACCTTCAAAGCCTTCATGTGTGCTTAGGGAATGGACTGGATTAGCACAGTGAGACATGCTTGACTTTTGCATGAAACAGCATTTTAACTCCATCAGTATGGAACTGTGTCCTTGACAGGAAAAGGGGGCCAATATGGGAAATGGCCTCAAGTTGCTCAAGAGCAAATTTAGGTTGGACATTAGGAAAAATTTCTTCACTGAAACGGTTGTCAAGCACTGCAACAGGCTGCCCCGGGAAGTGGTTGATTCACCATCCCTGGAGGTATTTAAAAGATGGGTAGACGAGGTGCTTAGGGACATGGTTTAGTGGTGGAATGGCAGTGTTAGGTTAATGGTTGGAGTTGATGATCTTAAAGGTCTTTTCCAACCTAAATGATTCTATGATTCTATATTACAAAAGGAGAAAGGGAAATCTTCCCATTAACAAGGAAGAATTAAGAATCAGAACTCTTCTTGTAGTCCAGACAAAAGAGGGGCAGAAAGAAGAGCAGCCTGCGAGGTGAGCTGGAACAGAGAGGAAGGGGCTGAAGCATCCTGGACCACAAATCACAATGACTGAAGCTGACAGCTCTGGAGCAGGCCTAGGATGGTCTGACACAAGGGCAGAAAAGCAGGCAAAGAGATCGAGTTGAGGGGAAAGAAGACACAAAGTTGAATAAAAAAAAAATCTGAATGACCCAAAGATGTCTGCAGGTTTGGAGTTATCACTCTAGCCAGTAAAAAAGGCCACCTACCGTAGCAAGTAGCAGCCATCACCGAGAGAGCCAGGAGCGTAAGGACGATGAGAGTGCGCATGGTGCCCGCGCAGGGAGGAATCTCTCACTCTGTCCTCTCACTGTGTCTCGCTCTCTTCCCACTGAGGGCAGCTGGAGATCCTGGGCCGCCTGCAAAATTAGCACTGGAATGTTTATTATGAAAACAGAGCCAGGAGGGGGCCCATGAAAGTGCCTGGGGAAGGCGATGGCTGGCTGGTACACTCTCTTTATGGAGCCCTTACAAAACATCCTCTATGAGCAGATTAAATCAGGTTTTGGGAAGGAGGGGGCATGCCCCCTTCCTCTCCCAGTTCAGGGCTGGGGGCTATAATTTACAGGCAAGCATGTCACAAGCACTCCATGCTCAGAAAAGCTGGCCTGCGCAAGTGGAAATAATTTCAGGGGCTGCCAGGGGCCCGGGGGGAGAGGTGTGTGCTGATCCCAAATGTAAATGTTTGCCTTTCTAATTTTTCCTCTGACCTGCCCTCTTTGCCCTCGCCATCCTCTGTCTGGATACACCCAGCCCAGACTGTTCAGCTTTGCCGACAGGGACATGGAGAATGAGGCTTCAAACGCTCCATCCCCACTTGGCCCCCCTCCCTCCAGCTGGCCCCCGCTGCAGTCCCGGCCTGTCAGTCATCAGAGGAGGAATCCAACCTTACTGCCCCTTCCCCTCTCCTACTTCACTGCTCCAGGAGTGACAAGCAGCAACCTAGAAGAATCCCTTCTGCTGGAGGGATCATGATTTTTGCATTGAGATGACAGCAGCACCCAGAACTCTATCTCTGCTGGTCCTCACAGTGGTCCTGACCTTATGCTGCTCTTCTAGCCCAAGGGACAACATCTTGGTGAAGGCAGAGGTAACCATATCTCTCAGGATTGCTGCCTCTCTGGACTAGCACTAGCAGTCCTTGCCCCACTGGGCACCAAAGGCAGATGCCAATGCAAGGCTTTTCAGCTGGGATGAATCTCCCAGGCCAGCAATCTCTGGGAGCATTACCTCACCTTCTAGCACCCAAAGAACTTGTCTGGGACCAATGTCATGAACAGCAATGCTGGACAAAAGATGGGGTGTTCCCCTCTTCAGCTCTGTGGTACAGTAGGAGAAAGTGAAAGAAGAAGGAAGGAGTTACAGAGATGGCCACCCCTGCTGGGAGAAAAGCAAAGAGGAATAGTTTGCTCGAGGCAAGACAGGGAGGGAGGGTGGGTACCCCATGCCTGCCAGCCCTGCCCCATGGCAGTGGTGGGGCTGGGACAACACACACTGCCTGGGGATGGGCCTAGGGTACAGTAACTGTTGTTATGGCTTATCCAAGCCGTGGTGACTGCCTGTTTTGTCCATGGGTACATGCAGGCATCAGGATTTCTCACTGACAGGGTGCAGACTGAGGGCACTCTGGGTGCAGACCATCTCCCCCAAGCCCATGGGGTGTTGTCACTGCTGTCACCTGCAGAGGCTGGTCTGGGAGCCACGCTGCAGGTGACACAGCCAAGAACTACAGGAACAGCTAGCCAGAGCCTAACACTTCCCCAATGGGGAATGAAACTTTAGTGGAACAAGATTGCGCTGGGCTTTATAACTTATCCTTTCAATGCCAAACTCATGGCCCTTGCCTGAAGCCTGTAGCCTCTGGGAGAGAAACTGAGCAGGGCCTTCAACTTCAGACCAAAGAGAAAGAATTGCTTTTCTTCTCCATTATACCACCCCAGGTGGAGAGCAGTTCAGTCCTGCACCATCCATCACCCCCATACCATCCACGTCTTGCCCGTTCAGTGCTCAGCCTGAGATGAGGAGGAAAATGAGGTTGTGCTGGGGCAAAAGCCAGAAGTCTGCTATAGATACAAGGTCAGAGAAGAACTGAGACTTTTCTGCTGTCCCTCTGTGCCCTGCCACTCTGGTTTCTTTAAGGGAATTCTCTGCTCTGAAATTGTTTGCATTCATTAGAGGTCATGGTTTTGGAGTTAGTATTGAATGTGGATTTTATAGGTTTCCTGAATGTCTTGTACGATCTGGGAGCTCATGGGAGCTGCCAAGAAAGGGGGGCCTGAAGGAGAGGCTGGAGGAGAGACCCCAGGGGGAAAGCAGTGGGGCACAGAGAGGAAGATGATGGGAGTACTTTGGAATGAAGGTGAGGCTGCACAGTGGGAAACTCCAACACGCTTTCCAGCCAAACCCTCCTTATTTATCTGTCATCACTCAGGGCAGAGCACTCTGCTCCCTGGAAGACTGTGCTCTCATTTCAGAGGACTCTGATCCCAGAATGCCTGGAGCATCCCCTGCCATCAACCACAGGAGAAGAGCCACAACCACCACTTCAACCCAAATGTTTAATTTTTCACCACGGAGGCAATGCATTTTCCAAGGGATGAATGAACATGCCGGTTACACAGCCCTATACCAACAAATCTCCTTCGGGGAACACTTTCCCCTGTAAAAGTACATCTCCTTTCTATTTCCCCTTCAATCCATGCTTCTCCAGTGCACATCTCCCCTCCACAGCATCAGTGGGCTGCCCCAGAGGTAACACACCACACAGCACAGTGAGCCCAATCCCCCTGCTTTCTAGCAGCACCCACTGGTTAGAAATACAGAAAGAGGAGCTAGGACCAATTGCCTGCAAATGCAAGGGAAATCTCCACAGTCCCCCAAATAAAGGGGAGCTCAGAAAAGCAGCCCTCTGACCTGTCTCCAGCTGGAGGGGAGAATCACAATGTTACACGCGCCAGAGCAAGCACTCCTAACATTTTGCAGCTGTGAAGCACCAGCAAGGTATTAATAACGAGCAGCCGTCCAGGCAAAGCAAGGCGGTCCCTGCATACTCACTGAGCTGTTGCTTCCCTGCCAGCCTGCAGCTCTTGTCCGAGGGAGCAGCTCTCCCGGCGTCCTGGACCCTGGACTGAAGAAAAGGGGCCTTTTATTTATTAGCATCGATCAGTGACTCCTCCCCTCTTCTGTCTCCCACTCTCGATCCACCCCCAGGCTACCACCTTCTCCCTCAAAAACACCTTCTGCCCACAGCCGGGAAACCAGCAACCTCAGGGAACTGAGCCAAGAGGGAGTGGAGGGAGCCAGAGCAGACGCCGGGGGCTAGCGGGGGCACAGCCGCATCCAGGCTGCCTTTCTGTGCCCAGGAGCAGTGAGGGGGCAGAGGTCTGAGGACAAGCTCCAGTCTCCCTCTTTGCAGCTGTGGAGCTGCGCTGCTGGCCAGGGCACCTGTTGCAGCAAGATTCACCACCACCCCCCCCTTCACCCCCTCTTTCCCCAGCTGTGGAGCTGCGCTGCTGGCCAGGGCACCTGTTCTTCCATGGGGAGCAGGAGGCCAGGAGCCTTCTCCCATCCCTTTCCATGCTCCTTTTGCAACTGTCCAATCCCCCCTCCTAATGGCAGGCAAATTAATGTCAGACTGAAAGCCCACGTAACAAAGGTGTCTGCTTTTGGACGCAGCTCTGAAACCTCCGAAAGTGACAAACCCTATGAGGCAAAGAGCTGGCTTACACAAACCCAAGCTCCTGAGATGCACCTTCACTGCTCACACCAGACCCACAACAGTGCTGGACAACACGTCAGAAAACCCAGGACGTGAGCTTGCTGGACCAGGCTATTGGGCTTCTGGCCCTGCCTGCACCCAAGCCAAGAGCACACATGCAGCACACTGGGATGCCGAACCCCTGCAAGGAGCAACCCGCAGCAGTGCTCCCTCGCTCAGCAGATATCCACGCCTGGTGCAGGCTCAGTGGGTCTAGTCCTTAAGTAAGGGTAGGCACGGCCTGAGGGACTGAGCTCTGCAGAGGTGAGAATCAGTGGCTCAGGAGGTTAAGAAGGAAAACCCATCACATCTATTCACTAACCCAACAGCCTTCATTGCAAAATGAAAATGATAGCATAACCATGGAGTTAAATAACCACCAAATGATTAGGACAGAGGTGGGATTTGCTGCACTTTTATAGGACACCTTGTCACCTTACAGCTAACACATGCATTTTTGACCTATGTACTTTTGCCTCGTTGCCAAAGAACAGTGAGGGGCTCCTGTCCAAGGGTGGGATCTTCAGCTCCTGAAGTGCTTGATGAGTTTGGGGAAAGTTCAGACCTACCTGTGGCCACAAGGTACCATGTTATGTGTGTCCTTGTACAAGCAGCTCTTGGCCCTCAGAGCCTGAGAATAGCAACCTTGAGCTGTCCTGAAGGTATAGGGCACACAGTCATGAGCCACCTTTAAAAAGCAGTGTAAAGAAGAGGATATTTCTTGCCCTCTTCTACCACCCTTCAGGGACAGCTGAATATTCAGCCCTGTGACATGCTGAACCCTGAAAGAAATCAGGATCCAGGAGATCTGATCATCCTCATCTACCTAGATATTGGAAAAGCTTTGGCCCCAGTGCCATCTTGCAAGCTTTTAGTTAAGTTGAAGAAAATGGGCATTAAAGCCAAAATAGTTAGATGAGCAGTGGAAAGGAGAAATGTTGAGAAATTACTAATTGAATTTCTCTTGGGACTAGTTTTACAGAATACTTCCATTAGTGACTGGCTTAAAAAGGGAGTACTTGTTGAGGAATTTTGTTGATAACACAAAGCAAGAAAGCAACATCAGTGGGAAGGAGGCCTGAGAGCTCATGCAGGAGGACAAGGGTGACCTTGAAAGCTGGAGTAGCAGAAACAGGGTAATATGCAATAGCACAAACGCAAGGTCTTCCATGGGGATTAGCAGTAAGAATCCTGCTGTAAATTAAAAGCTCGTAAATGGGGAACAGAAGGAAGAGCTATGAACAAACAATCATAAAGGTCATCACAGAAGACTGATTCTGGGATGTTTACTGAGGACGTGCCAGCAGAGATGAGCACCTGTTAGTGACGCTGGATAAGATACCAGTGAAACTCCAACAGGAGTCCTCTATATGGCCCAGGTCACCCATGTTCATGGAAGAATAATTCCTGTGGGAAGTGGTGGAGATGAGGACTAACAAGGCGAGGTGACTTGTAGTCACCCCCAAAATGACAGATGTTTTCACCATAGCCTGTGGTGGTCACCAAGCCTCTT